TGTCAAGACAGCCATAGACAATCTTGTCCGAATGAAGATCCTCTCCAAGTTCAAACTTGTCATTCTCATGAAATCTGATTATCGCATGTCCAGGGAGGAGGATTATGACTTATGCCGTAGAAATGCTATTAAGATATTGGAATGAAAGTAGTTCATTGTAATTAATCAGCGAGGAACGAACACATGAGACAACCTCATGACGCCAATCCGTGATATTCTCCTCTCATAGAGATGGATCTGCTAAGAATCTTGAATGGATAACAACAGACGGTGTCAGATCAGTAGGTTGTGGGTGTATGCGAGTGGGGTATGTGTATGAATGGCGTGTTTGTGGATTTTCTTTTAATCTACACCGATGCCCACATCCACCAAAAACCCTTCCTGGAAACTCGAGGGTTTCACCAAAAAACGTCGTTTTCACGGTATAAATAGAGCATGATAAACTGCATCGAATGGCGTCTGAGTGAATTTTTTAGCTCTCACAGTTTCCTGAGTAACTTGAAAAAGTGTGTCGAAAGCGTCACAGTGTTAAGTTTAGACAAGTCGTTTTATAGATTTTCCTAGTGAGATTCTATGAGATGTGTCTACTTCCTACATATTTCTCTTGGTAGTTTATTCTTCTCATATGAATGAATATTTACTTTTGAAAATAGAACTCACTGCTACATAGCTCTGGGAAGTCGCTGCTAATTGTGCATAAATGCAAAGTTCTCTATTTCTCACTCTGTCTACTCGATGGCATGTCCAACAGCACCATTTTTACAAATAGCGACATTTTCTCTGTTTTTATCTTTTCCTAAAAAAAACATCCTTCCAATTTCAACTATGATCAAAATAGGTTTATTTATGCAATATGTTTATACAACAGATTTAAGTATTGATGTGGGTGTAAGTATGGATGCGGATAAGCATGGATGTGAGTGTGACTCTATTCTCCAATAACATCTTCACCAACATCCAAACTCACATTCTAACATTGTTAAACACAAATGAGCCAACTTGAGTCCAATTGGCATTGCATCGACTATCAAGTCTTCACCAAGGCTAGGGTTATGTCTAGTAGCGCTTGTTTTTTTAAATATAAGCTAAACCTTGAGAACCTCGTTTTTGGCGTTTATGTGTTACCCTCTCAGAAACACGCTTTTAACAGGTTCATTTTTGAGCAATGTATGTCTCTGCTTTTATATCTATATCAATAAACAGAAATGGTTCCTTTATGTATAAAATAGAAAAAGTGTTCATATGTTAGACACTAATCAGCTTGGCATCAAAAAACTTTATACAAAGAGTTTCTTTTTCAATCGGTGAATCGACCATCCAACTACCGAGTGCTTCCAAAAGTTCTTCATATAACTTTTTGCGGGATATACAAACAGTACAAAGGTCATTGATTGTGGTACATAAATTATAAAACTAGCAAGTAAATGAATATGTGTCCAAACACCAAATTTTGTTTCCAAGCAACCGCTGCGCGAGGCTACTTGAAATGCAATTAAGTCAGTAAGTTGACATAAAAGAATTACAAAAGGTGGTAGAAAATATTCAAAGTGCTCTTTGAGTTCCTGATAAAAGGAGCGACGTACAGTTGATTGTGATCGATGTCCTTGGGAGAGAAATGCTTTCCTTCGTGCAATACTTATAAGCACCAGTATATTGGCTATGAAATGTAAGAAGCTCGAACCAACTGGATTAAACCAGGTAAAGAATAGATTAGCCATCACCAGTGAATACTTACTAGTGTTGAATGTACAACTGTAGGCATTCGTTATTAGACTAGAAGACGGCTCTGGTGCAATTGTTATCATAAATATCGTGGGTAATTTTGAAAGAGTGGCGAAGGTGAAGATGATCATTACAATGATTACTGAATTTTCTCGTGTTCTACCAAATAATTTAAAGAAGAATAGATCGATGAGAGTGCGTTCAACGGCCAAGATTGACGAACACCACATACTGGCAGCCGTTATTATTACATTCATAGTTCCAGCGATATAACAATCAAATACATATTGGTAGAGATACGACTGAGTAACTGATTTATTGGCGTACAATGTGATCATTATTCTCGTTTGAAGAAATAACATAATATAGATACTACTTAAGGAGAATGCGATGAGATAAATGTTAGAATATATGTACCTAACATTTTTACAGAGAAATGTCTGCAGAGCAAGGATATTATTAATTATTCCGAAGAATATCCAAAAACTAAGACACAATGTGAAGAGAAGCCGATAATTAACCGAAGATTTTGATTGTTCTATTGCAATCCTCATGACATATGGATACGTGCGCCATAGTAAGTTATCTTCAATTTCACATCTTTCTCCAACAAAACATGGAGAACAGGAACACAATGTAGTTCCATTCAGAGAACAGTAGCCCCCATTTAAACATGTAGTGCTGGAACAGTTTTCAAGAAACATGTCGTTGCTAGAAAACCTTTACTTCTTCTACCTAACTTAACAAATGTACAAACGAAAAGAAATAAAGTAAAATTACACTTTAAACTTTTTTTGTTGCATGCATCGCAAACAGCTCATGTTGCAATTATTTATATCAAAAAATTCGTCGCTAAAATGAAGTGTGTTGCGAAAAGTGTCACTATTTGTGACTCCATTTACGACATAAATAATGATGATGTGAGCTGTTTGCGACATATGCGACTCAAAAAAGGTTTATAGTGCCATATATTATACCAAAAAAAAATAGAAGCACAAGGTTTCAGTAAATAAATTAAATATTTGATTTATGACACACCATAGTTTATTTCCTTCTCTTATAATAAATTGCGTCTATCAAAATGTAATCGCGGCTTTCTGTTTATGCCGTACATATACATACATATATAATCGAGGAACAGATTTCTAGAAAAATGCATATTATTACAATGTATTTCTTGTACTTGATACTAATAATTGAAACACTTTGTTCAGCTGCACCCCAAAGGAGTGACACCACAAACAAAAACTGTTTAAGATCGATCCAATCTCGGATTTTAGTACAACAAGGATGGATGCATGGTGTGAATGCACCCACCCAGCCAACATTGTCACGTATGCTGCAGTCAATTGATTCTTCAGCTTTTCCATGTGAATCCCAACGAAACAAGGTAATGAAACAGCAATATCGATCAATTTACATGTTGCCATTCGAAAATACGATTACATTTGGTGGTTATCATACAATACCAAATCTTCTTTGGGATAATAGTACTGAAATAAATCAGTGTAATCGACAGAATTTGCCGCATTGTAATCAGAGCGAACAGATTGGATTGGATCCTGAGGAATGGATGGTCTGTCTATTCGATGAACAAGAAATTTTCAACTATACTCAGAATCAACTGAAAACTAAAGTATTTACAAAAGTTTTGCCCTTGGAAAGTGAAAACGTCCAGCAGCTGCCTTTTCCGAATGCATTCAACGTTACAGTGATCGATGTGCAACCGTCAAGACTGTGTGGTAATTATGAGTTAACTATAGTTTGTCATCTAGCAATCGATGGAGATTGTTCCTATTTTATCTGTCATAAAATTAATATGACACAATTGATCACAGTTACTTTTGAATATGAATTTGTTAGGTCGACAGTGACCATGATGTGCCATCATAAATCAATAGAAAAATTAAATAAAGATGACTTTTTATATGATTTACTAGAGCGACATGGTGGTAATGGAACTGTCTGTCATTTCGTAACAAAACAAGCCAGTTTTTTCATGTGTTGAGCTACTTGATGAATTAGAGACACATTTCTAAGTTACTCAAGAGCTTGGATGTATGTTAATCAAACTTTTCAAACAAAGTTTTTGTCTTTTTTTTTCTTTCTTCTTATCAATAAATTGTGAAAAATGACTTTGTTTCTCTGCAAACAGCAGATACATTAAAAGTCAGAAAAGGGATGAGTCTTATCGAACGACAACTACTACCTACAGTTGATTCATTCTTCTTTTTGATTAATACTATGACTGTTGCAACTAAGACAACAGTGATAGTAATTAAAAATATTACAGCTAATAGTATCTAATGGTATCAAGACGAATTTGATCTTATATTGTCTTATTGACACTGCTGGTTCCTTCTCATTTTTCATACAACTTGTTTCAATACAAGATGACTGACGGTCATCAATTAAAAGTGACATACGGATGCAAAATTATTGATTTACTAAAAATATTGAAGTTATGAGTATTTTTTTGTAATCTTTGTAAATGAGACAATAAGGCCAAAGAATTTATATGAGATTATGAACAATACAATAATGGCACTAACAACAACGATATTCGTCTTGACAATCTTACTGTTCGTCGAACATACTGAATGTGCCATCCGAGCTTGACGTGCCACTTACTATTATAGGTGGATATGTGTGTGCACTTATATAAAATCTCTTTTCCGTTTTATGTTAATGAAGTCACATTGAAAAAAATGACCTAGCTTAATTCAAGTAACTTGCTCTAGAACCATTTTTGTGAAAGAAGTTCAGGTTAAAGAATAAAAGGATTAAGATATCACCCATTTGAGCCTTTGGAATCATTTTTTATTTCTCCTGGTTCTTTAAGTGATCGAGAACGTTTTGATGGTTTATTAATTAACGAATGAAACTTGAAAAAGTTCAGCATCTTCGCTAACATCCTAAATGATTCCTTATGACACCTTTTTTGAACAGAACGCCGACATCCATGCTCATCACTCGTGCCCACACCACCCACAGTCACAGTCACACCCATTTTCGAATCTGTTTGTGGTTAAGAAAGAGAAGCGAACGAAGAAGATTATTCACAATGGACTTTTAGTAAATAAATGATAAATCAGATGAAAACAAGCCACAACTACTTCAATCGAACGGTAATTGAAACAACGACAACTATGATAAAAAAACGAACAGTCGAATGTAATCCACCCAATCTAAGTGTCAGTATACGCAACATCGCATCCTACAAAGACGATAGTTTGATTAACTCGTCATATTCATCCTATTTATTGATGGTGGTACTTTTAGTCTTCAGCTGTTAAACCAATAATCGTGCTTTCTTGCTTAAGAACACAAACAGTTCCCGTTTCAGTAACTATCACAAAAAGTAAACAACCGATCAAATATAGTCACTCAAATGCCATGATGCAATTCATGATAAGGCCGTGAGTGTAAATGTTACAAATATCGATGGAGCTCTAGGTTTTATATACAAAAAAGTATAGTTCTACTGTAAGTCTATTTTCTCTTATGCTTTTATCTCAACTCACTAGAGTACGGCTAAGATTATAGACAATTTGTGACTTTTTGGTTTTATTTGTCAGATTTCACTATTTCTTGCATTAGTAGATATCTCGAAAGTGTGGGTTAGATACTGTCAGCATTATTCATGCCATACTCGTCGAGTTCGATATAACTAATACCATTGAGATTTTTCTTGACACTAGTAATTTTGAATGTGGTGAATGGAATAATGAGGATTTCGTTCTCATTTGGGTACGTGGATATGGTGTGTACATCGATGGCTTGACATGAATTTCGAATGTGATATGTATATATGACTTGACGATTCGACTTCAGGTCGAGTGAGAGATTCATTAGAAAATTCTGCGCAACGACTCGATCAGTTGATGAAGACAAAAATGTTCGCGTTAGGATAACCTTACCTTCTTCATACTGATCTAAATATGAGTCTTTCACATTCACACCACGGTAGGTTGTCCCAATGTAATGACGATATTGTTGTAGTTGTGGATGATGACTGAGAATGGCAACGAAAATGTATTGACCAAAGCCTTTTGGTGGATCATTATCACAATAAACTGTGGTGCTCATTGCGAAGCTTATCTCGAACCGAAAATCAGATCCACCATTGGCTAAATCTTCGTTTAGTTTGGTAACGAAACGTGTCTTTTCCGTATAGGCACGAACAAGTGGTGTTGAATCATTGTTCTCCATGGCTTGCTTCATATAGCCTTTGATTAAAAGTTTCTGATCATTTTGATCAGAACCAAAATCAATTTTGTCAATATAGCCAGTATCAATTTCTTCTACCAACCGAGCGAACGATATTTTAGTTAGCCATCGCTTCATATGAGTATGATTCTCGTAGGCAATTCGATAGGCATTTTTATATGTATCGAACCATTCGATTGATTCTTCGATATAATTATTATATCCATTGATGGTATCGGTCTGGTCTATTGTCGACATTTTATCAAACAAAAACTTTAAGTAAGCAGGAGCTTCATCGTTAGCAACGCAACTCCATTGAGTTTTGATCGATTGATTAATATTTTCATGTGCCAATAAAAGTTCTAATATCTCCGCATGTCCATATGATGCGACAACATGTAAAGCTGTACGCTTATTAGGATCTTGCTCATTCAATTCATCATCGGGCAAAGTTTGTAGAAGTTCACGTACACGACTTATATCATTATTCTTACAAGCCTCATATAATGAATTAATTGATGACATCGTTGTTTGGATTTTTTAAAGAGAAATATTTTGAATCATTTTTCGTATGATATTTTTATACTGCTGTCATTTAATTAAATGACACTTAATCGATTTGTCCCTTTATATTGCGAAAAAGACAGAATGGGGCTGGAGAATTTTCCCATCGTGGGCACTTAAGAAAATTCCGTGTTGATGGACACTTGAATGAGTAGAATGAAGAAAGTTGGAAGAATTGACACCATCGGTTTGAATGGAAGAAAAGAACATCGACATTTTAATGGTATAAAGCAATCAGAAGTATGAATCATCTCTTATACATGCAGCATGCTTTTGTCAAAAATTGAAGAAAAAAAGTAAAAGACACCATTTAACTATGCTCACGAAGGAACAATTGAATGACTTTCACATTTTTCTATCAGATGTGAGTGTGGGTATTCCTGTAACACTCTGATAAAAGCGATTGCTCAAACTTACCTAAAACAACTCAGTCGTTATTTGAGCCACTTTAGATTATAATGAAGTATTTGGTTTCTACACAGTCTATTTGTTCTCAAAATAAATGAACTCTATACTTTTGATAGAGTAAGATTGCTGATATCTTGACAGAGTCAAACTTTGATGATGGTCAAAAACCAATCTTTTGTGGATTTTTTCGTCCAAGCTACGAAAATGATTAATATAATAGCACGAGCAACATATACGGCAAAAGTAAATACACTTTACGGGATATGAGCTCGAACGGTTTCTTCTCAATTATACAAACTGAACTTTGAATCTTTTCAATATTGCGAACGAGTCTGTAAAAATGCTCTATTGGCGTGGGCATAACATGCTTGCTTGCGATAACACACTATCAATTAATCAACAAGTCGATATCGAAGGATATGGGAAAAATCAAGGAAAGATTAAATACCAAAGATGCAATGAAACATAATCGCCGTTGGAAACTTTGCTGTATCTTCAAATCAATTGCTCAGTTCACAAAGGAGAATTGAACGGAATGAATTTGAAAAGCAAAAATTCATTAGAAAAAAAAATGCTAGAAATCAGAACATCTGGCTATCATGCAATTGATATATGATGGAAAAATAAAGAAATCGATTCTATCAAATGTCATGATTTATTGAATAAATGATCATTCTTTTTTTTTAATACTTATATATCTATGCACCAGAGCTCCGTATAAGATGAATAATCCAATATCATCTCATCAGTTCATGCGATGAAATGGCAATATTTGAAGATGGGTATGAGCGGTATTAAGATGAATTCACATCCATATTCCACACACACAGACACATCCACACTTATACCCTCGACATGAGGAGTCAAAAGACATAATCAGAAATTGAAGTTTATAAATGAACACTGAAGAAAAACGCATTTTATGCTCATAGCAATTCAAATCCATTAAAAGTCACATAATCTATCGAAATTAACTAACAAAATAAGAAAGTTGGATTAAAATCAGATTACTTTGTTGTGTTTTCTTTTACATGAATTGTACTGCATATCATTTCCTATATGCATGTAAATATGTTGCCATAGGAACTAACTGCGGACAAAGTCGATAAAAGTACAGAATGTGATGTATATCACATTATCGAAGTTGATATTAGAAAGTTTTACCCATTGAACATAATTGATAATTGAAATTTATCACTCACATATCATACTTCTTATTCATTTGGGATGAAATAGATCAAGGTGCTGTTTGTAAAGAAATACATATATCTTATAGAAAAACAAAATACTTCTATGTTGATCTAGTTACTCACGCAGTTGAATAAGTTGTTGTTTCTTCTTCTGTTATGGTAGCATGTCGAAGAGTCATAAGAAAAAAAAATCTTCTTAGACGAGAAAAATTGAGAGGAAGAAAAAGAAAATGCAATACACAGACATTTTTTTTTTGAGTGTAGTCATTTTTGTCAACTGAATCATTCTTATTCAACTCTCTCAGAAGGTAAGAAACACACTTTGAAACATTTGTTCACACATATACACGGACAAAATATGGAATTCACTATTCATAGTTCGTCTGTTTCGATGAATGTAAACGAGCGATGTAATATAAATCAGTATAGCTTTTTGTTCAGCATCAGTCAAAGAGAAAATATGAACTTAATAACAAACATGATCAAGGAAAAAACAACTTATGATTAGCTTTTTTAAAAATAATTCAATGTATTTTCACTACTAACCCCATTCAAATGTATACAAAGGCATTTGATTAGAATATTTTTCTAAGATATACTGCTGACTGCAAGATATATTTTTTTTATTGAATGTCGTTGAATGTATTTAGAGTTATGTTAATAAAAATACCATTTTCTATGCCTGAATCTTGAGCTATTTAGGAAACAATAGCAGATACTTAACTATCTTTCAATCTAAATCCATTATTGAAGTCTATGATTGTACTATAGCACAAACATAAATATTATTTATTTAGTGTAAGTAAGAACAGCAAGCCTTGCTTCAAGTGACTGCTCTGAGTACTGTATAATTTTCTAATACAGGAATTAATAACTTTAGATCATCATTGATCGGCTGTCTTTGTTAAATCATAACGATCTAGTAGTTCTTCAAAATTAATCATCTTCTCGTCTGTATTACCCGATTTATTTACTAACAAGAGAAAAAATATCAATGACGAACGTGTATCTTCTCGATCTTTCGACCGAAATATTCCATCGCATTTTTGATTATCTCGATACGCCAACTATTTTTCGTTCACTTCGATGTGCTTGCAGTCGACTCCAAGCAATTGTTAATACCTATGATCGCTTTGAACTCAAATTCACATCTATTGAAAATGACCATATTAAATTTATCTCTGATACTATTGGTATTGAAAATATAACTTCTCTAATATTTTCTGTTGGGAACAGCGAGCGATTGAATAATATCGATTTGGTTCTATCAATGTTTACTACTCGACAATCTACTCGGCTTCGTTCGTTGACTCTTCTTGAGATTTTTAATAATGAATTAGATCGATTATTGCCACATATCAATGTTCTCTCTTTGGTATCACTTTCGATTCAGTTATGTAGAACATATGGTACTTCAACATATTCTCCTGTTTCAATAGCAATAATTCAATCCAATCTTCAAAAACTTCATTTAATAGGTTTCAATAGTATAACGAAGACTTTATCATGGCCAGCTCACTGTTTATTACAGCGTCTAACAATAGAATATTGTACCTTTCAAGAATATCAATTTGTTCTTGAACAGTGTCCCCTTTTACGAACATTCGTAATGCAGCAGTGCACAATGTACGATAGTAATATTATGACTGTGGAATCGTCTATCCATCAATCCTATCCACAATTGACTTCACTAACACTGAACATCTCTTATTTATCTTTCAAAAAACTTGATGTGCTTTTGTCTTTGACTCCATCGCTGATTCATTTGAAACTAGTCAGCTCGTCAGGAAATTTTGACTCCTTATGTGATGGTTTTCAATGGGAGGAGCTTATCCAAAAAAAATTACAACTCTTGAATAACTTCAACTTCTGTTTTCAACAAAGGCTTGATTACTATTTTCAATATCGTAGCCTTCATTCGATTATAAATCAATATCAAACACCCTTTTGGCTGGAGAACAAACATTGGTATGTCACGTGTGATTGTGTAATATGTTCATCATCAGCATCCCAAATAATGGTCTATACAATACCAGTCCAAATTAGTAGTATTCAACTTATAATCAGATGTCAAGCATTATCAATTGATGATGTTTGTTATTTCACTAGGTATCAATCAAATGAAAAAGATCAAGTCAATGAAGAAGAAGTATGTATGAAAGGCTATCCATTTAACAGACATCAACGATCTTTTTTTTTTGAATATAAAACACAAAATAAAGACCTTTTCTAGCTTAGAATTTCACAAGAATTTTCCATTATGCGAGGTTTTATTGTGTTGTTTCAATCTGATTACATAACATCAGTTAAGTGAATCTATCCTTTAAAAGTCGATTAGTAATGAGAAGAAATATGCTGTCAATTTTTGACAGGATATGAAGCAACTTCCGTACTAATCAATAATGATCAGAATATGCAATAATTGTCATTTGTATATAGATGTATTAGTGTTATACAGTCTCTTCTACATCATCCAGACAAAATGTGTCTCTCTCATGCGAATTTTTTTTCATCTTAAAAAACTGACTTGTAATTGATTCATTTTCAGAAGACCTGTTTAATTCACTATTCGGAAAGTGATGCTCGGCTTTAAAAATATTTTCTTTATATGTATCATATCTTTTTTGATTTATTCAAATAGGTATTCATCGAACTTAATCTTGAAAACAATAATAAGCGTGCATACAATATACCATATCTGACATGTGCATTAAAACATAATACAGTAATAACGTTCATTTTATCTTTTTATTGATGCCTTATTCGCTTTGATTTTTAATACAGACGCTTCTTACACTGAATCTAAATCAAAATGATATCAGACATGAAGAAATACCTCATTTGGCCTCTCTACTACAAAATAATATAGTGATTATGATTGTTCTTTGTCTTGTTCCTATTGACTTTTACTTTTATATACGTAGCAACTTAGTACGCTGAATTTGGAAAAAAATCAAATTGGACAACAAGGAACAAAATATTTGGCTGATGCGCTAAGAGACAACACGGTGATTCTCATTATTTTCTTATCTTATTCATATTTTGTCTTCAATTTTTTTTTCTCCACAGATTCTCACTACATTAAGTATAGGTGGAAATCATATTGGACACGAAGGAGTACAACATCTAGTTGACATATTAGAAAACAACAAAGTGATTTCTTGCTTATAGTACCTATTCCCTATTCCATGTTGACCTTTTTTTTTTATAGACAATTACTAGACTTAATATCGGTGGAAATGATATTGGACCGAACGAAATACAGAATCTAGCAAATGCATTAACAAAAAATACGGTGAGTTTTGTTCTCTACAAATATCACCTATATTTGTCTTGCTATATTCTTAGACACTGACAACGCTC